AAAAAAGTTAAAATAAATAGATCTGTATTAATATTGAATTGATATTTTAAATTATATTTATATTCAAAAATTTTGAATATTAAAAATGTAACTGACTAAAGTAATCATTATAAACTATATCCTGAAATAAAAATCAAATAAGTGACATCATATTAACAATTTTTTTCAATTTTCTTGTGTAACAGATATGCAGTAACTTGTCAAACTCACACTAAGTTTCAGCTGATCCTTAAGCCATGTTAAATAAAACTGAAGATCAGTTTTTTCCATGAGATCGTGACTCCAGCAAGCTAACTTGGCTATAATGCGTGATGTCATATTCATTATAAAGCCATCTTGCCTGTTTAATAGATTAAGGAATGGTCCCCAAACAGATTCTCGTTTTCGTGTGGAATGTTCACGAAAGATTTCCACACGACTGCGATCTTCCTATAAATATTATATTAATTTCAGTATAATAGTTTTCATTAAAAATATTGGCAAGATATTTTTTAAGAAAGATTTTTATTTAATCTATTAAGTAAAAAAGATGCAGCTATACCTGCAGCATATCATCAATCATTGTAAGAATATATTGAATCGTCTGATCTTTTGAAACGTGACCGAGCAAATTAAGGAACGTTTTAGCTGCCTGATGCGGATTCTCCTTTAGCTTATTCTCTCTTGTTTTAGCATCGCTTGAATCAAAAGCTGCTATAAAATCATAGTCTTCTTTCGATATCATTTGTGATCTGAAAGTATTAAATTTTCTTAGAATTCAAACTTCTCAAACATAATCTACCATATTCAAGTATAATTACTTACTGGAAATATGATTGCCAATTAATTCGTTGATTTCTAATATCAGCAGCTTGCTGCTGGAGTACACTTGTAGCTGCCAGCATATCTACAAAAAAAATCATATAAATCAATATTCATATGCTAAACATAAAATATAATTAAAATTATAAAATAATTTCCAAATAAATCAGTGTTCAATAAAGACAATATAATTATTAAATAAACAATAAAAATGGATCACATTGCTGGGAGGGGCATTGTCAAAATGGAATTTTCTTTTGCGACAAGAATAATTACCAATTTTCTCGTCCGGCAATGCCGGAATCATTTGTTTGATATTCGCACGGTCCACCATGGTTATTGTCAAAACTTTGCGTCAATTTAAGAAATAATCTCACTCGGAAAATCCAGCCTTCAATCCCCGTCGTCTTCCTTGGCTTCTTCAGCTGTTCGATCACAAGACCACGCAAATACCAACCTAATTCGACGTAATGGGGATTTTTAATGTTGCTAACCGTGCTGGGATTTTTGTTTATAGTCGGCGTAGTTTTGATTATGGCTGCCTTTTCAACAAGATCGGATGCAATATTATTGGCTATTGACTAGGAAAATTATAAAAATTCAGAAAATGCATTAAAAAATGGTCGATTATATTTTTTTGCAAAACATGTATACAAATAGATAAATATTTTGTCTGAAGATTTAAATTTATAGTTTAACAGAGCAAAATAGCTGATTTCTTTGAAAGACCTTTAGAATATTATTTTTGAATAGTATAGTTCTTAATTTTTAAATAATTTATTATCGGTTTATAAAAATTTTTACCCAATTTACAAATTTTTTTTCAGAATTTGATCAATCATTCAATTATTAAGATCTTTGAATTAAATTATCCTCTTTAATATGGAATTTGTAAAAAAATTATTTTTGAGACAGATAAATTTAAAAGAATTAGAGTAGCGCAATTATTAAAAGATGCTTTATGTTTTAGATACAATAATTTTTAGAAATTTACTTCATATTTCTTTTTACGCATAAAACTCAATTTTAGAATCATGTACAAAACATAATAAGTGGAATAGAAAAAAGATAGTAATAACATTAATACATGTGAAAGCCATCTTAATTTGAGCGAATTAAAGAGAATTCATGAAACATTAATAAAAATTATAAGATTATATTATTACTTTAATTAACACAAATTTTTCTTTTCACATAGTAGTCCAGTTTTAAAAAAAGAATGTTCCTGAATTTGATGTAACAGCATCATAGATGAAAGTATTGTGAATTGGTTTATATTGACTCGTAATAAGCTTAATGATTTCCTGCGCTGCTAAGCCGCCTAGAAATGCGGAAACAGAATGTAATTCCGCACCACCAAATCGGCAAAGTTCGTGTACGTAATCATCTTTCGCTAATGGACCACATCCCCATTCACTCAACAATTTTGTGAGGCATGTCTGTAATAAAACTTGATTGTAGTATGCTTGACTACTATATAACACAATAATTATGTTATATAATTTTGTTATATCTATTAAAAATTGCACCTTAAGTTTTACGATATCGGGTTCCACTTGATCATCGAATTCGCCAGGATACGAATTATATTCTGTCTGAAATTTATCTACTCCCCGGAGCATGACATAGTAAATCATCATACTCTCTGGATTTTCTAAATTTTGAACTGAAAAAGATGTAATTATTAAGAATAGTGTATATTTAACCAGTTAATATAATTATATTATACATTTTTTGAATAAAATAATTACCTATAATATTAGTATCAAAAACTTTAGGATCATATTCATCTGCTATACAACTTCCTTTCTCTACATGAATATTAGCGACATGTCTGCAAAACAATTTGACATCTTTTTCTAAGATTGAATCTGATGATCTTCCTAATTGACGTAACAATTGCAAAGTGCGCCTCCATACAGCTTCTGCATCTACCGATGCTTGTTTATGATAACTAAAATAAATTCGACATTAGTTTATAACATTATATTGAAAATTAGCACGAAAAAATATTATAACCTTAGTGTATTTCAAATCAACAAAATTTTTAATATTTTTTAAAAATATTCAAGTTATGATTGTATTAATATTAAAATAGTAATACACATTAAGTAGTAATAATAAAATTAAAAAAATATCTTTTATATACCTATAAACTTAGTAATAAAAGACTTAAGACTTTCTTAATTACATTGATACAGAAGATTGTACTACTTTTTCGTGCACCATCATCCTAAACAACTAATATATATTTTTTGGAATTAATATTGTACATTTGTTGAAGAGTAACATATTTTTCAGTGTCCGCAGTCATATCGGGAATAGTACCCTTGAGTGGTAGCAGTCCTCTTCCTTCATTATCGATGAAATCACGTACTGCTTTTGCAATAATCCAGAAAGAGCTGCTCTAAAATGTATTTATCAGTTTGAACACATGTTTCCAAAGAATATATAAATAAAATATTCCATTAATACCTTCGCTGTCAAGTTAACGCATCGATCATCATTTAAAATATTTATAACACTATCGGGAATATCGGATACTCTTATACATTTATTTACAGCCTTCATAGCTTCCTCAAAATTTTCCTCATTATTGGATGAATCATTTTCATCACGTCTCATGCCACTCTTTATCATATCTCTGAGCTGCTGCTTGTCTTTATAAGTTTTCGGTAAGGTGCCATGCTTCGTAACCCATTTTTCTAAGTATTTGTACAAAATAATTAAGTATGGTACATGACAATGATCTTTGAAGCTCATTTCTTCTAAATTTATGGAATCTATATGTTTTTTTAAACTATCGAATGGTCTATCCAGACGTAAATCTGGCGTTTCATTATCTGGATGGGTTTCTATAACTGTATGCTCCTTTACTTGAATTCGTATATATGCAATAAAACCTATACTTCTGCATACTATCAAAGGAATATTCAATTCCCAAAGTCTCTTCGACAGGAGAACTAATGTTCTAAAAATATTTATAAGAAATATTTATAAGAATCAATTACCACATATTCAGATTAATACTAGAAACATATTTATAAGATATATATTTGATTTAATCACAATATTTTTTTGTAGATTACAATGTGTGCAATTAGTCTTACTTCTCAGTTAGTGCAGTCGCCACAACCATAGTAAAATTATTGAAAAAGTCTGGACTGTTGGATAAAATTTGTTCAGATTCTTCATCAATATAATCACCAGTCACATCTGGATTCATTTCTAAGAGCATTTGAGTAGCCACTTGCGCTCTAGATTTCCCAAGACTATCTGCTTCTAGAAAAAAGCTAAGTCAAATCCATTTAATCACTGAATTAAAGCATATCTTAAGATTCTAACATTATTATATTAAGGTATTGCCTACATACTTAGCTTCGATATCCTCGTCAGTGATCTTCTTGCCATCAACTATAGTGAACGCCCCTATACCTGGAAGCACTAACGATTTTAGTATTTCCGTGCCAAGTCCAGTAGCATTTATAACACAAACATGAGCAGCCTCCAAGGTTGCTTGACCATGATCGCCCCATAACCTGTCAGAAACAAAGATCTCTGTTGTATAAAAGAAAAAAAAGAGAACTTTAAAAAAAAACGTAACCAAAATCAAAAGTAATGAGACAAAGTTTCCTGTTGCATAGAAAAGAAATAGAAAAATAAAGCTAAAATTGTCTTGTATCGTAACCTCAAAGTATATTATAATATACCTCAATTGTCGATCGTATTTACGGTTTTTTTCAGATTGCTCGGGCGATTTCGACTCAGGGGATGCCATCGGAGAGATGAATCTGGAACGAGTGTGGTCGGATGGCAAGAAACACCTTGAGATGCACAGCCACGAATACAGTGGCCGCACTACACTTGATGGATTGTGTCAGTGACTGACACACACATTCTGTATGTCATGTATATATACACATATATATCTAAATTATGAATCATTATTTTCATCGTTAATAATTAACATTTAAACGAATATTAAGTATAATAAAATATAAAGCAGAATTTAGATTTGTGATTATTTACGAGATTAATAAAAAAAAAGGAAATATGTATACATGCGCATGTGTGAGATTTAATCAGCATTCAACATTTGAAATTATAAGAAATGAGAAATTTTAAGAAATTGTCGCATTTAAAATTTCGACATTACTGCTCATTGTACTACTTTCGATTAATTATAAGCCAAAGGTAGCTTAAAGATATTGATATTTAGTTCGGAAATATCATTCTACATAATTACTATTAATTTCATGTGTTATTAAATTTTTTCAAATGGCAAAATAAAAGTTATAAGACGCACAATTTGATCAAAATATAGATTTGACATAATTAGAACTGACATAATTAGAAACTGAATATTATGCATATTATGTGTCTTCATATGTTATTTACATGTGTTATTTAAAATAAATAATAAATATTTGATACATAATAAATTACAAGTAATTCCGCATTGGCGGTCCTTTTTAAAAAAAAAACCGAGAAATGTCGAAGATTGACGAGGTAAACCGACTTCACGTTCGATATTTGCGCGCCACGTGCCCTCGCGGTTCGCTATTGTGGGACCGACAGTCGCTGGTGTTTGGTAGTTGTTTTTGATCAATCGCGGTGGATGTTACACGCCTAAGTGAACGTCATGTTTAAAACGTAAGTAACCCACGAGTAATCTGCGGCGAGTACACCTCTTAAATTATACGTGATCACGTGATGTATAAAACAAAATAAAATTATTCCGGTCGTTTATTATTATTAACGCCTATTAATAACATGCTCGCATTATTGATATTCTACCAAGGATTCTACCAAGAAAAAAAGTAACAAACCTACGAAAACCGAGATGAGACTCATACGAATCAGACAAAAGTGAAATTTGTTAGTGGTGTCGTTTGTGGTGCCATCATAATTACCGGTGAATTTATTCAGAATCGTTAATTTCTTTATGTAACGATTAATGAAGGTAATGACATTGAATTAGTATTTGTTTTTATTAAACGTAGTTAGAAGTTATCATTATAGAGATAATATCTCAATGTTATGGAATGCATAATTCTACAAAAATTAGCAAAGTTGAAGTTAAAACTTCAACTAAAGCTGTGTTTTTTCAGAAATAAGAATATAGATATGTTTTTTTGTTTATAACAATTGAATTATATCAGTTTTTAATGTATTACTTATTATATATTTTAATTTTATTAAAGTTATGGTAATCAGATAAATGAAATTTTTATCGAAAGAAGGAAATAAGAAATTTTTAATCTTGTAAGAATATTCATATGAAATAATATTTTGTTTATCAACGTTAATATTAAAAATTTATTTTATCTTAAAACAATGAAATTGTAAAATAACTTTTTATCACTCTACTTTATTATTCTAGAATTTTCTCTGCAACATGAGTATTTAATTTCTTAGAGCAATTATGACAAATGATCATTTATTTATTCTATAATTAATTACAACATAATTTATAGAATTAAGCATATTCATGATAAAATTTAGATTAATCAAATTGACAATAATTCGTCGTAAAAATCTCATAAAATAATATTCTGCAAAATGTTGTTGCATAGATAAAAATAACAAGTTTCTATTTTGTTATAAACTTTTATATATATTTTATCTGTGTATTAATTTTTTTATCTATTATGTATGATAGAATTAATATAGCGTGATATGTGTAATATATTCATCAATTTTATCTGTAGTGTAAACATATTTTTAATCCTTTCAAGTCACTTCAGATACGCTATTTAGATAAATTATTCATTAATATATATTAATGATATATATATATATATATATATATATATATATATATATATATATAAATGTTTTAGGATTTAAGAACTCAAAAATATTTTTTTTATAACACGTTTTTTTATATATATATTTTGAATCACTTCTTCCTTTCAGATATGTATTTTCATATTTAATTTTATATTATTTTCTTAGCAATTATTCAATTATTAAAATGTAAAATACATTTTCTTATGCTTATGATTGCAAATAATTGCAATCATTGAAGGTAACGTGATAAACGTAGTTTTTGCCTGCGTCATCAACAGCATTTGCAAATTCTGCATCAAATCTGTATTTCTAATAAGCAACATAGTAAATTGCGAGATCTATTTGGGCTATTTCTATGGGCTATCTATACATGTATTAAAGAAGAAATATGACAATATCACATAGAAATTGAGAAAACACTACGTCACTACTCGTTATCAAAACGTTCATTTGTCTTTCATCACGGAACAATGAACTGATTGATAACATTGTATAACGCATTCAATAAAAGTTTGTAATATGTAGCATTACCTTTCCGTATGTAAATTATGTGATCATCCTACAATCTACGAACTTATCTACGAACAGATGTTTAACTTTTTTTCTTTTAATTTAATGTATTTCACATACACAGTTAAAGAAAGTTTTGTTATATGAATTATTTTCATATATCTGTACAAATGCAGATTACACAATATATTTCTTTTGTATTTATATAACCTTCATTAAATATAATATTTATAAAGTTCTTTATATCACTATAAGCTGCTATTATTTATAAAATAAAAAAGGGTGCACACGTGTAGAATATTTTTTAATATTTATCTTTTTTAACTCAAAGAATTATTTTCATTACTTCGACAAAAAAAGTCAAATTGTTTAATAGAATTCAAAGTTGATTTTCGTTCCACGAGGAAATCCCCATGAGGGACTGCCATTTGCGATTATTATTAATTTTCATATAAACTATAGCATCAAATTTCTAACTCAGAAATTTGTCATATTAAGATATCCTCTACATATTGCCAAAGTTTTATAATTTTTTTAAAAGTTAAGAATGTTTGGTTGTAAGATTAAATATTGGAAATAATTTATTATGTGTTTCAGAATATAATAAAAAGGATGTAATCAAAATAAATTTTTTCATATCCACTTCTTTTTATCTTTTGAATTATTAGAACTCCTTGTTATATTATAAGTATAATTATTTAGAAATTATTCACATTAAAAAATGGAAAGGTTAATAATTTGTTTATGTTAATTTTTTTATGTTAATTCAAATTTTTAACGTATAAGCTTTATCACAATCCTTTCCTTGATCTTGAAAAAAAAAAATAAAGTCATTTATGTCGTTTACTAAATAAAAAATGCCTGAATATTCATTATTTTATTAGAAAAATAAATTTATTTATTTATGATTCAGAAACGAACAAGAAATGTATATTCAATGTTTATTTAATAATTAGCAATATTCAGTATAATATTTGGTAATATAATATTTAGTTTTATCAAAAAATATAAAATTTATTTATTTGCAATCGGAATATATAAAAATAACTTTGTTTCATGTAAAAACATATGCCTAAGGAATTGATAACATTTTGTAAATAAAATGTTCTATTACTAATTATAAAACACAAAATGTTTTATGTACAATTCTTATATACGATTATGTATGTTTTATTATTTAGTATTTATAATTGAATAATTTGTATATATTATTTATTTGCTTTCTATATATATAATCTACGTATATAAATATACGTTCTGCATAACATTTTCACTCTCAATTCTTCAATGATATAAAGATATAAAGTGCGAAGTCCATGTCTGAATCAACTGCATTCTGAATCAACACAGTCCATAAAACGCGGGATATATTATTAAGAATTACGTCTACCTCTTGATAATCTTATCCAATAATGTTTGAGGAAACATTTAAAAACATAACAGATATTGAACTTTAAACCTTATATAGAATTGAATATTGAGTATTTGTCATGATATATTGTATAATATGACTTCATTAAATACTTATTCGGATTAAAGGTTGTTTTTGATTGTAAACGTTGCTCATGAATTACTAAATGATAATTTATGAATTATTTATAAACTCTATACCTATATGAATGTTGCATTGCATATCAAATTTCGTCGAGCAGTCGTAAATTCTTAATTTTTTATATTTTTAATTTCTTAAAAGCTATCAATTTTTTATTTTAACATGATATATAATCCATTATTAGAAGTTATTTATTTTATGAAAACGTTCCACAAAACTAAAATCTTTTTTATATTATCAATTTATATTCGATATAATATTACGTATGTACATACATATAAAAATGATTATGTAATAATAAATTTGATTATCCATCATGATCATAAAATGATTATTTGTGAACATTATAGAACTGATTTGTTGCGGAGAGATCGAAACTGAGTTACATAAAATAACAGCGAACACGCAATCTGAGCTTGTAAATAAAATTCTCGAAGAAACATCAAATGTGATTTCATATGTGTTATCTTGCCTTCATACTAAAACCACCAAGTGCCGTTTGATTACCGTACAAAAAAAGAACCTGCTTTTTCTATAAACTTTTATTAAACCATAAAGACTGCTGGTAAATTTATAGTATAAATGCGCAACGATGCGTGTAAGTTTTATACATATATAGAACTGCAAAAAAATGAACATGATTCTTTTGAAGATATTTTTTAAAAATAAAACAGATCATTTTTCTATAATTAAAAATAAGAAACGATTTGTTAAAAATGTAAAAATGTACAAATGTAAATGTAAAAATGTAAATGCGGACGTAATTACAAAAATGTAAATGTAAATACAGATAAGATAAGAATATAAATGTAAAAAGGAAAATTAATGTAAAGTATAAATAGATCTGGTAAATAGAGTTAGATGTAGAAAAATAGCGTGAGTGTAAATGAAAAATAGTACAGGTAATCAAAGGATCAGAAAAAGGAAAAGTTTAATTTAGACGTAAAGTATAGTAATTTAGACGTAAAGTATAGGATAGAAGTAATGTAAAGTGTGAAGGTGGATGGATGAATGAGCTAAGGAAAAGTTTATAAACCAAGTCCCTTCATGTCAGAGTAAAAGCTGAAGAATAAATTATCATGAATACAACGAGAAATAAATCCTGATTTTTTAATTTTAAACAATTTTTTTATTCTTACAATTTTTTCTCTAAATTTTAATTTTATAATTCTCCGAACAGTTACGTATATAAAATATATAATTGATATTATTAATCTTGTATTTCAGAGTATTATGCAGCATTTATTCGACGAGCGGCATCGCGCTGTTATTCCTCTTTGTAATGCTTTGTGCCTTAAGTGAGAGTGTGAGATATCGAGCAAAATTCACCTTCTTCATAATAGCGAGCGCGTTAGCTGCAGGATTATGGATTCCATTCATGCTATTTCGAATCGGCAGCTGGAAAAACGCACTGTAAGTTCTCATATATGATTTATGGATAGAGTAAAGTTTTTCAGGTCTTAATGTAATGAAATGAAATCTTTCAGAGTACCGGCCAGATGCGTGGTGACAATAGCGAAAATCATCGGGATAAATTTCCGTTTTCGCGGCAAAGAGAATATCGTCAAAGATTCAGGCTGCGTCGTGCTCATCAATCATCAGAGTTCATTAGATCTTTGTGGTAATTAATTGGCGTTATTGAAATTATTATAAATTTGTCATATTATTGAATTGAAGGCTGGCAGTAAGATATCAATAAGATCCAATAAGCATGACTAAAAGAATACATATGTAGTTAGGAATGAAATGCCTTGCACATAATAAAATTGATTGTACAGTTTTAGGTGAATTATGGTTAGCGATGGACAATTGTACTGTCATTTCAAAGAAGGAGATTTTGTACCTTGGACCATTTGGTCTTGCGTGCTGGCTTTGGGGAACACTGTTCATTGACAGAAAAAATGTCGGAGAATCATGCCAGATTATTAATGCTACAGCAGAATCGATTCGTCTAGCGAAGGTGACTTTGCGTAGAGTTTTCTGTAACACTGATATAGATATTTAAAGTAACATTAAAAAATACACTAATATGAAAGACATTATTTAATATTAATCATCTAGTAACCAAGTATTACTTTATATAAATTAATATTATAAAAATTAATATTTTCGGTTAACATTTTTTAGCGAAGACTTCTTCTATTTCCTGAAGGACATCGACATTCGGGTAACTCATTGCTTCCTTTCAAGAAAGGCGCTTTCCATGTTGCGATTGAATCTCAAATGCCGATTCAACCTGTTGTTGTGTCAAAGTATTACTTCTTGGACAGCAAATTAAAAAGATTTCATTCAGGTAAATAAGAGATTATTATATCTTTATAAATATTTTATGTTTAAAATTTCTTTATATTTTAATTAAATAAAAGAATCAACCAAATCTAATTTGCTGAACAATTTTTCTCATTATGTATAATTATATCTTCAAGTATAATACATATATCATATATCTAAAAAATTATTCATTTTTATATTTCAGGAAGCAGTTATATTACTGTTTTACCGCCTATTCCTACCGTGGGTATGACTAAAGATGATCTTCCAAAACTCATGCAACAGGCGTATGAAGTTATGAATAAAACCTTCGTAGAATCTACAACAGAATGTCTCGAGGAACAAATACGAAGTTTGAAGTGCGAGTGATAAGACTAACGCAGAACGAACTCGAATACTTTAAATTCTAATTAACCGGCAAACTTATAATTGACTGACTCGCGGATTGATACCTGCAAAAATTACATATGTGAATAATTTATATTACCAATTTTTGTGAACATGTGAAATTCCTGCATGTCCTTTCTTATACGCATAATGTACGTACCAGTTTAAAAAGCTTAACTCTTAATTTAATAAGTTTCACTTAGGTCTTTATATACATATATCTCCATTGATTGATAATTACTTTCCTGTGATTATGTTACGACGTAAATGTAGAATGTTAATGTTGATCAATGCTCTTCCATTACTTCTTATACAAGTTTATCCTTAAAGATCAGAAAGATTTTGTGAAGCTCAAATAATTTTTTAACGATGCAATTTGTACTTTTTATACCTTACAGGAAAATATAATTTATAATTGAAGATCCTCTATTTTGCGACAAACGTTTTATAAAGGATGTGGAAAATTGCTAGTACTATGTAAAACAACAATCGTACAATGTAAAAAAAAAGTGCATTCTTCTCGATTGCGTATTCCAGTATGTGTAAATTATTAAGTATTGAATAATAATTTTGTATTAAGTAATTGCTATCAAACTAAATATTTGAAATTACAATTACTATTATTATTTTACACGCGGGATTAATTTGTAACTGATAAGATTTCTTTCATAAGAATAAAATAGGAAAAGATGAGTTGTCCTCTAAAGTATAATTATTATTTTATATCTTTTTTATTACATTTTCAAATGATGATATGAGTCGCATATATGTGTTTATGAAGGAAGGAATAAAAGTAATAGATTAAATCAATAATTAAAAAGATAAAAAAATAATCGAGTCACTTATTAATGATATAAACGAGATGCACTTACGTGTATATATATATATATATATATATAAACACTTCTGTACAGTCTTTTCTGATATTGTAAAAGTAAATCTTGTCAAGTATATCTATGCGATATATTCTCTTATCGTTATTATTGGCAGGACGAGAAGTTCTTGTGCAACATAAATTAATTAATATATTATCAAAAAAAAAAAAACGTAATCAACGTACATATTTCTTTGAACTAATAAGAAAATATTAATATGAGTAATATTAAAGAACAACCGAGTACAAATGTATTGTTGCAAATGTGTGTGATACACATGTCTATACATGTATAGTATACATGTCTATACATATATCTAATAATAATGTTTGTTGTTATCTATAATATAATAAATTATATTTCAAATAATATAATACATTCAGAGCAATGATATTATCATTCCTATCATTAATTATAAATTATCAATTCAACAAATTCAACAATAATTCAATAAATCATCAAATCTGCGATAAATTTTTTTTATAAAATATACAAAATAATATGATCAAACATTAAGTAGTAATATCCTCGAATTCTTCAAGAAGATTATAAATCTTGATCGATATATTACTTATGTAAAAATCCAATACTTTACGAAGGTAATCAGTATAATTTTTTAACCAAATATTTTCTTTAGCTGGAGTGCAGAATAAATATTATATTTTTTTATTCGAGGCCAAATTATTTATAATGATGAAGCATCCATTTTGATGATGCCGCAGGCATTTCTTTTATTATGATCTTTTTTCTCCATTTTTATCATTTATTTCTTTCAAATTTTTGTTACTTGTGTAATCATTTAAAACTGACCATTTTATAGACAATTCAAGCGCGAATATTTTGCGTTTACATATCTATTTTCATTTGTCTCATTCGATATAATTGACCTAAGATATTTTTTTGTTGAAAATCTAAAGTTGAAGTTTTTACAGATATTTTTTATTAAGTATTGGAATTATTATAGACAAAATACATTGAATTAATTTTTTTATGGGTTAGTGATTGCTGGAATTCTTTATCTTAGAATTTTTATATTTTTATTTTTTTCAGAATAGATATAATTTCTTTGAAACAATATGTTCTGCAAATATAATTATATCTAATTATCATATAAATTATTTACATTTTGATTTTTGACATTCTTTTATATATTAAATAAAATCATTTAATTTACCTTTACTATTTCATTGATGAACTTTTATTGATCTTTATTATTTTTTTTTTCGCTTATATTCCTCCACGAAGAAATTACATTGAAAGATAATTCACTCTTAGCTTAACAATTTTTAATATCCTTTATTTTTAATAACCTTTCGTTTTATTTGATGATATACGTTCTAATTTTTTTCACTTGATAAATTTGCTTAGTCTCTTTGAATCGCAATAATTGCTACAGGTGTTAAACTTGAGATCCAAAGAAAGTGAAGAAATTGAGGATTTATTCAATCCAACTTCAAGAGGCGAAGAATTCGTAGCACATTTACCATTCTGTACGGTATTGATTCTTATAAACTTCGGAAAATTATTCTTTTCCTTAAAATTTATACATTCAAGCATCAATCCGTTAATTTCGTCATTTACTTTTTGTTTTGGCGTACTGCATTTATACCTATTACATGGCAATTTGTTTAACGCATAAGGACATCGCTCCATGCATGAACATTTTCTACATTTCTTTATTTTATTTTTCAAAAACATTTGTTTCACACGATTTTTCGATAATTCTGCAAATCGATTCAAATAAATCATTGATCGATCGTTATTTATAGATGACAACGGATTATTTTGCACGCTATCTATCATCACGTCTCGATTTGCAAGTCGATTACATGTGTCCAATTTTCTTTCATTGCTTTCTTGTGAACATACAACAGTCTCTGTTTGTGTAGAAATATCGGATCTAAATGAAGTGTCTATTGAATTACTTGATCTTTCATTATTAATGTATTTAATTATGTTTTTGCTTATATTCAAAGATGCTTGTATTTCTTTTTCTTGCAAGAAACATGTTTCTTGATGTTGTTGACTGAGAGTCATACATTTATTCTTAGTATTCTTTGAAGATTGTTGAATCTTTCGAATATTTTCTATATTTTTAATAATCTTGTTCTTAAAGTATTTCAAGCCATACATCACTGAAAATTTAGTTGCTATTGGTCCTTGATCTCTTTTCTTCGTGCAATGGTTTGAAGATTTACAAACCTAATAAAATAAATATCGTAGCATGTCTTTCACTTATTTTTGCATTTATTTACAATATTTATGTGATAATTATCTATATATGTAACAATAATTTATACGTAAGAAATGTTGCATCACATTCTTACATAAGAAATATTAAATTATGTAATATATTATTTTTATTTAAAATTAAAAAAAGAAAATATACAAATTCCTCCGTATAAATTTTTGTAATAAAAGATATACAATAAATATATATCATTTATATAAAATTGTTGTGACATAAAAAATAATACAATTGTTATCATTAAAAATATAATAATTATTCAAAGGTAACTGATTAGTTAGATTAATTATATTGGAGTTTTTTTTTTCGTTGCTTATGAGAACTCCCATATTTTTAAAATATGCTTTTACCTTTTGTAACAAACTTGCGCTAATGTAATCTTTATTTTCCTTTATAGATTCGAAACAGATATTTTTATGATTCACGTTGAAGGATATTTTCTTTAAATGGTTCAATTCCGTCCTAAGTTCATCCACTACATCTGAAAGAACTTCAACTTGTTCAAGTATTTGATTGAGTTTATACTGATTACAATAGCTTTTTTTTGACATAATTCGTCAGTCTACTATCAGAATTACAATTCTTTAGAAAAAAAACATGTGAAATTTTATTGACACTATTTAGCACATTAGTCATTTTCAGAAATTTAAATTGAGTATTGGGGATTTATTTTAATGACATGGTTAAGTTATGACAGGCCATTTGTCATCTAGTATGTTTTAATTTGTTTTTTTCATATAATCATACTTTTTTTCTTTACATTAGTATACGGAAACATTCAAAAACATTATTAAAAAAGAAAACTTCAAAGTCAAAATTATTGTAAATTTTCATGTATCAAGCATTAAATGTGTCAAACAAAAAAGTTTTATCTTAGCAAACAAAACCAAATTTTGTATTAACTTTAACTTTTATATGCTAATCATGTACAAAAAAACCATGTACTTTTACATTTATATTATAATTTATAAAATCATACATTAATATCAAAAATAACATATACTACAATAATTACATAAATATGTAATAAAAATAATTACAGAAAATATACAATCTACACAAAATATACGAATAATGTGCAAAAATATATTTTATTATAACTTATGGCAGAAACAGAGCATTTCTCACATTGATAAAACTGTTTCGTATTAAATAATCATTTATTTGATTTCTCCTATGTCCTAGGTACATTCGTCAGTCGGTGTCACGTACTGTAGATTGGCTAATAGTATAATAATGTTTGGTAATACAAAAATCTCTTTCTAATACGTAATACTATATTTGTATATGTACAATTCCTGTTACTTTATTTATACTGTCGATTTTACAAGATGACTGTGATGCGTTTTCCGTTTACCGTTTCGCGCGGTTGTTAACGTTATGATGAAAAAATAACTATAAAAAAGATAACAATGTCTGCATTAGTAAAAAAAACAAATTCTGCACTGTTTGAAATAAATATCAATTTTTCATTTTGTCTCTTACATTACTTAATGCGATGATTCTATACATTTTACATTTCGTTGTATGTCGCAGAATCTTTAAAGATCCTTAAATATAGCATCACTATTGTACTGATCTCCTTGATGAAATGATCACAAGCAGATCAATTTCATCACAATAATAATATGCGATGATCACAATTCATTTTTCTGTATAATTTTATATAAGTGAACTCTCTCTGGAATGCTGATAGCGTGTTCAATTGTAAAATCTTCGTTTCCCCTTTACGAAATGTAACTTAGTCTCTCTAAACTTTTTTACATTCGAGGTAATTGAGTTGCCTATACTCGTCTCGTATATGAAAGAATCACTTTTACAATATTTCAGAACTTACAATAAGAAAGACATACCGCATATTCTAGATATCGCAAAGGAAAAAAGATAAAAAGAGAAATAAAATATTTAACGTAGCAAAGTTTTCAAGACATCTATTTGATAGTTTCACGGCTGTTAATCAGAACTAAATTATATAGTAATATTTCAACTCCATTTCTTGAATAAACTCGCAACATTATCGTGCTACTTGATTACTTGATAGCCCTAACTTGTTTATAATACTGATAATCGTGATTTTAAATGGCTTTTTAAATCGTTGAATAGAAACGCATCTGAATGGATAGTCCTTCTTGTCGTAAGATCTCTTGTTTCGAACGCGATTATTTCTTTAAAAACACACCTAGCGCGTGTCGAGCGCGGCGTTAATACTTAGAGCTACATCGTAATCTAACGTAGATCTAACTGTACATAAATAAAGGTAGAAGACAAAGTATACATCAGAGAAAGAAGTGAAGAAAAAACTGATGGTATCTTTCGGGTTGTCTTGATCATAGAAAAACAGACTTGTGAATTTGTTTTTCTACATCTGTCTTTCATTTCTTGGTCCCTCTTTCTCCTCTAGTATTCGCATAACACAGCCTTGCTCCTCCTTATCTCTGCACGAATAATTCTCTTGCGGTTCTGGCTACTTCCCGTGACTTCTGTCTCTGCCAGCAAACGTCAACAACTTAATGTCGAGGCTGTTCAGATCAGAGTAATACGAAACGCTCGTCTTAAGAGATCTTCTTGTCCTCATCACAAAACTGAAGAATTCTTCAGTTTTACCTTGCGGGATCTCTGATTTTTCATGGCCCGTCATTTGAGGTAAAATTTCTCTTGTTGCTGCCTTGGATCTGTTACAGGTGCAGCTTGTGTTGCACAGGCTGTTGTCTCATATTCCGTTGCTGTGTCGGACTAGCTCAATTTAGTCGGCCAGAGTACGGTCTGTCAGGAATTCGGGGGGGAATATTGGGTACGGGACGCCTACAACATAGATAGATATTGAGTGTTGGATGTATGTTCATAAAATTCAAAACAGAAACACGCCGCAGGGAGACAATAAACAAAAGAGATGCGATTGTATCGACATACAAATAGGCAAGCTTGAAAATTTAATGTCCAAGTCATATTTTCCTTTCTCTCTCTTTTCAGCTCAAATATATTAAAACTTAATTATCTACTAAATTAAATATTAGGACAAAGAGAGAAGGATAAAAAAAGGAAGAAATATCTAAATTCACATATAATAGACACTACAACAAATTATAAAATATATAATATAAAAGAATAATGTAAATAATAATGTAGCTCGTTCAGTAATTGTATAATTAAAATTATGGACATTTCGTTTGATTATATTACAAAATATTAAAAATATTGTTCTGAATTTTAAGCAAAAATTTTATCAAAATAGCAAAAAACTGAAATTGTAATAATCACATTTAATTTCAGAAAAAATTATAAACGTATTGCAAAACGCGACTAAGATAAATAAGTAGAATAATATAAATTACAATTATAAAACATTGAAAGTGTAAAAGTGTAAAACAATAACAATTCAGATTAAAAGAAAGACAAGAGATTCACACAGCATGCTCAAGCGTCAGCGAAAAAACACATGCAGATTAACAATAAATATAGAAAAATATTTAATTGCATTATTACCATCTTATATAAAGAATTCATTAAATTAAATAGAAACGCACAATACGTCTCATATTCTTCCAATAGCGGCGCTGAATTTGAAAGGAGAAATAATATTAGCGTACAATTTTATAAAATC